CCCCAGCACGGGACCGTGATGAAGGCAGAGGGAGGCTGGGACAAGAGGTACATAACGACGAGTTCCTTTTATTCAAGAGTTCGAAAGTCCACGTGTACAGCTGGCCCAGCGATCACACCCAGCCTCGACAGCGATGCCCTGCTATGCGCCGCAACCCGTCCTGGAGCTCGCGCCCGAGCCTGCCTCAGCCGTGGCCCTGCTCTGCTGCTGCCCACACGCCGCCAGGTGCCTGCAGGACCCTGCCTCGGTGCACCCAGCTTGAAACTGGGTGTGCCAGGAGCCCCGAGACCAAGCCCAGGGGGCAAGAGGCCCCGTTCTGCTGGAGAAGGGCCTGAAGCTGGCTGCACGGCAGGTCTGGGAGCCACGCGGCAGGAGGCCAGGTGGGTACAAAGGGGCTGCGCCGCACAACCCCCACCCTCCCAGCATCGGTGTTACTGGCTGTGCATGTCTTGCCCTCCCTTCTCGCCAGGGGCAGGTGTCATAGCAGAGAGGCTTTGCTTTAAGGGACTGCAGACTGACACGCGCTCAGAGCTAATCCCTGTAAATCCCGCGTCCTCCGATGGGATTAGGCACCCCTTGCGCCACTCGAAATGAACTCGGGAGTCTGGGGTGATGTGGGGACAGCTACAGCCGCAAGGCCCTGCCGCTGAGCCCTGCACCTGCAGCTTTCCCCTTGATCAGCGCCCTGGGAAAGCAGGCTGGGGTGGCACCCCGTATGCTTGTGCGAGGCTTACTGCATTGACAGTCTGGCTGGCGCCTGCAGCAATGAGTTCCTTCCATCCTGAAGGCAAAGGCTGTAAAAACTATTCACAATTTGTCCCACTGGAATATAAAAGGCCTGTAATTGGGGACAGGGTCACAGAATTCACCCCTGGGGCCCAGCCTCCCTGGTAGCTTTGGTGGGGGCATTGGTGCGTCATCCCAACAACTCCAGGTTGGGTAAGAAACCCCCAGCTTGGGTCCTTTGCCTCCAGGCCCCTGAGCTGCGCTGCTTTGTGATGCTAACTCAGCTGGCATGTGGCTGTAGGAAGAGGGAGAGGGTCTCGTGTAGAGCGGTGGGGATGGACGGAAGGAGCCGCAAGGCTGCTGGTTCGGTTGAAGGGATCGGTCTCCCGAGCAGAGCAGTCGATGACCCCGGCCAGGCCTCGGTGGCTCAGTTCGGATGTTCAGGCTCAACACAGCAGGGTGGACAAAAACCACAGTAATCACCATTGCAGAAGAGGCCCTGTCCTCTCCTCTC